AAATATGTGGCTTGGCCCTATGCATTAGGGGACATGCCCAGCCAATTGAAATTATTTCTGAATACGAGCTGATGATCTGTAACCCACAGAGCGGGATCTGAGATTTTTAAGGCCAGAAGACAGCATTGCAATCATCTAGTTGGACTTCTTGCATAGCAGAGGTTATAAAACCTTGTCTAGTAATTTCTGCACCAAGGCACCATTATTTCTGTTTGAGCTACAGCCTATGTTTTAGAAAGACATCCAGCCTTTAAATCTAGACTTCAGGTGACAGAGAATCCAACATATGCCTTGGGAAGTTGTTTCAATGATTTATTGCTCTCACTCTTAAAAATGTGCACTTTCTTTGTCTCATCTAGTAGAAAAAGGTGTAACAAAATCCAATGGTTGCAAGCTGATGATAACAAGCCATCTACTATCGGAAATCACTTCTCCATATAGGCACTTGTAGATCTCTTAACCTTCTCTTGGACAAAATGACTGAGCTTCTAAAATCTCTATCAGGAACATTCTCCAGACCCGGTACTCATTCTTGTAGCTCTTTTATGAACCCTTTCCTATTTTTGGAAGTGTGGACATCAGAACCGACAAAATATTCCAGTAATGGTCTCACTAATGCTGTACACAGAGGTCATCCCACCTCTCTACTCCTATATGTTATTCCTCTGTTTATGCATTCAGTGATGGTGTTTGTCCTTTTAGCTAGAGCACTGCATTGAGAACTCATATTTAGTTGGTTAACTACCATTACCCTAAATCCTTTTCCATGTCCCTGCTTTCCAGGATACTGACTCCTATCATGTAAGTGCGACCTACATTTGTTGTTCCTAGATGTATGGCCTTGCATTTGGCTGTATTAAATGAGCCCACCTTACCAAGCGATCCAGATGATTGCTCTCCATACCTGACCTACCCCTATCATTGTTTACCACTCTACCAATTCTTGTGTCATCTATTTTGCCAACAATGATTTTATATTTTTCTTCTCATATAAGGGAACTGACCAAGTACCAAAATTTAGAGGAGATGGCAACAAAACCTGGAACAAAGAAAAAAATTCTGGATCCTTAAATTGAAGACATTTGCAACTCAGGGTTTAAGGGTAACCAGCAAAGGAAAAAATAGGCTTTGTCTTTTAAAAATTTCTTTACTTTGATTAATGAAGGCCTGAAAGTTTGTTTTTCCTTGTTTCTTACATCAGAAATTCAAATCTTGTTTTGTCATTTCCCAGAAGATACTATGGAAGATTGGTAAGATTATGCCACCAGAGAAGCTATGTAAATAGGCTTAGAAGGAGTCGATTTTTATGGATAAATGTCGTAAATGTCAATTTCACCATACACACACAAACCCACTGCACATTATTTCCTTTGATTGTAACTGAAATTTATGGATGGGCAAAATAAGAACGTAAGAACAGCCATACTGGGTCAGACCAAAGGTCCATCCAGCCCAGTATCCTATCTAGTGACAGTGGCCAATGCCAGGTATCAGAGGGAGTGAACCTAACAGGTAATAATCAAGTAATCTCTGTCCTGACATCCATCTCCATCCTCTGACAAACACAGGCTAGGGACACCATTCCTTACCCATCCTGGCTAACAGCCATTAATGGACTTAACCTCCTTGAATTTATCCAGTTCTCTTTTAACTGTTATAGTCCTAGCCTTCACAACCTCCTCAGGCAAGGAGTTCCACAGGTTGACTGTGCGCTGAGTGAAGAAGAACTTCCTTTTATTTGTTTTAAACCTGCTGCCCATTAATTTAATTTGGTGGCCCCTAGTTCTTATATTATGGGAACAAGTAAATAACTTTTCCTTATTCACTTTCTCCACACCACTCATGATATCATATACCTCTATCATATCTCCCCTTAGTCTCCTCTTTTCCAAGCTGAAAAGTCCTAGTCTCTTTAATCTCTGCTCATATGGGACCCTTTCCAAACCCCTAATCATTTTAGTTGCCCTTCTCTGAACCTTTTCTAATGTTAGTATATCTTTTTTGACATGAGGGGACCACATCTGTACGCAGTATTCAAGATGTGGGCATACCATGGATTTATATAAGGGCAATACGATATTCTTTGTCTTATTCTCTATCCCTTTTTTAATGTTTCCTAACATTCCATTTAGTTTTTTGACTGCCGCTGCACACTGCGTGGCCGTCTTCAGAGAACTATCCACGATGACTCCAAGATCTTTCTCCTGATTTGTTGTAGCTAAATTAGCCCCCATCATATTGTATGTATAGTTGGGGTTATTTTTTCCAATGTGCATTACTTTACATTTATCCACATTACATTTCATTTGCCATTTTGTTGCCCAATCACTTAGTTTTGTGAGATCTTTTTGAAGTTCTTCACAGTCTGCTTTGGTTTTAACTATCTTGAGCAGTTTAGTATAATCTGAAAACTTTGCCACCTCACTGTTTACCCCCTTTTCCAGATCACTTATGAATAAGTTGAATAGGATTGGTCCTAGGACTGACCCTTGGGGAACACCACTAGTTACCCTTCTCCATTCTAAAAATTTACCATTTATTCCTACCCTTTGTTCCCTGTCTTTTAACCAGTTCTCACTCCATGAAAGGATCTTTCCTCTTGTCCCATGACAACTTAATTTACTTAAGAGAATTTGGTGAGAGACCTTGTCAAAGGCTTTCTGGAAATCTAAGTACACTATGTCCACTGGATCCCCCTTGTCCACATATTTGTTGACCCCCTCAAAGAACTCTAATAGATTAGTAAGACATGATCTCCCTTTACAGAAACCATGTTGAGTTTTGCATAACAATTTATGTTCTTCTATGTGTCTGACAATTTTATTCTTTACTATTGTTTCAACTAATTTGCTCGGTACTGACGTTAGACTTACAGGTCTGTAATTGCCAGGATCACCTCTAGAGCCCTTCTTAAATATTGGCGTTACATTACCTATCTTCCAGTCATTGGGTACAGTAGCTGATTTAAAGGACAGGTTAAAAATCTTAGTTAATAGTTCCGCAATTTCACATTTGAGTTCTTTCAGAACTCTTGGGTGAATGCCATCTGGTCCCAGTGACTTGTTACTGTTAAGTTTCTCAATTAATTCCAAAACCTCCTCTAGTGACACTTCAATCTGTGACAATTCCTCAGATTTGTCACCTACAAAAGATGGCTCAGGTTTAGGAATCTCCCTAACATCCTCAGCCGTGAAGACTGAAGCAAAGAATTCATTTAGTTTCTCTACAATGACTTTGTCATCTTTAAGTGCTCCTTTTGTATCTCGATCGTCCAAAGGTCCCACTGGTTGTTTAGCAGGCTTCCTGCTTCTGATGTACTTAAAAACATTTTGTTATTACCTTTTGAGTTTTTGGCTAGCTGTTCTTCAAACTCCGTTTCGGCTTTTCTTATTACATTTTTACATTTAATTTGGCAGTGTTTATGTGCCTTTCTATTTACCTCATTAGGATTTGACTTCCACTTTTTAAAAGATGCCTTTTTATCTCTCAGTGCTTCTTTTACACGGTTGTAAAGCCACAGTGGCTCTTTTTTAGTTCTTTTACTGTGTTTTTTAATTTGGGGTATACATTAAGTTGAGCCTCTATTATGGTGTCTTTGAAAAGTGTCCATGCAGCTTGCAGGGATTTCACACTAGTCACTGTACCTTTTAATTTCTGTTTAACTAACCTCCTCCTTTTTGCATAGTTCCCCTTTCTGAAATTAAATGCCACAGTGTTGGGCTGTTGAGGTGTTCTTCCCTCTACAGGAATGCTAAATGTTATTATATTATGGTCACTATTTCCAAGCGGTCCTGTTATCGTTACCTCTTGGACCAGACACTGCACTCCACTCAGGACTAGATCGAGAGTTGCCTCTCCCCTTGTGGGTTCCCGTACCAGCTGCTCCAAGAAGCAGTCATTTAAAGAAAAATGCTGTTTGAGAACTTATTAGAGTTTGATTTAAGGATATTTACATTGTATATTTTGACATGTGATGTTGACAATTTATGTTTTAATGGTTATAAGGCTTTACCTTCTCAAATCTCAGTGTCTGTCATAAATAATTATTGTCTGATTCCCCTGTTTTCTGACACCCACAACTTCACAGAACTGTGAAAATTTAAATAGATAAAAATAGAAAAAAATGCATAAAAATAAACACCGAATCTGTCAAAATTAAAAAAAACTGAATTCTGCCAAGTCAATATGTAAATAAAAATGGATTGACTGAGATAAGGACAGGATTTTTATTCATTCTATTTAAAACTTTTCATATTTTGTTTTGATTAACATCTATTTTAAGTTATATGCCTGAATAGCTGGAAGAAAGGTCTTTACTAAATATCTGACACCTGTACCCTTTCAACTAAGGGCTGAGCTCTCATGCTTTGGTTCTCCAAGAATGACCTCCAGCAAAACGGGGAACTCCAGACCTGGCATCCTTATTTCTAAATTTAAGAAAACTTTTCAAGCCATATTTATATATCATAGAGAAGAAAAAGGGAGGAGGGCATAAACCCAATTTTTATTTCCCTTATGAATTATCTGAAATGAGGTTTGGGTCTTATACCAGTCAGTGTGAGAAATAGACACTTTTCTTATGTTCAGATCATCATAGCAGGATTGGAAACAATGGTGAGTGTAGCGGAGGGGAAGGACCTGGTTCTTCTTCCAGCATGTATGCATGGGTGTTTGAGCTCTGGTCACCAACAAAGGCTAGTCATGCTTGTGTGTGCATTGAGCTCATGTCCCTGTGTTTTATAGGCTTAAATATTTCTGTTTAAAAAAAAAAGTTTCATAAACTGAATCATAATCTGCACTCATAGTGTTCAGTGCTTCCTATCCAGGGGCTGGTATTATTTTCAGGCTGCTAGCAACAGATTTAATTAAGTCTGTATTTCCTTACATGAATGAATAATACTCTTTGGCGAGACAGAGTAATGAAATACTTTTTTCCACTGCCCGTATGCAGCCTGTGCAAGTACGCATTACCACTAAACTCCTGGCCCAGCTATAATTACCTTAAACTTGTGCTCGTAATTCTCAAAAGCTTCCATGACCATGCAGACAGCCTCCATGGAACGCTCTAGTCGACCATCTACCCCATTAAAGCGATACATGCTGCCAGAAACATCCACTACCAGGCGCAGACGCTTAGGCTTCTGCTGAGGGCTCCCAAGCTATGAGAGAAAAGTACCAGAAAGAACTTTATGATTGGGAAAGCCACAGTTTTGATAAGAACAAAACACTTTAAAAGGAGTTATCACACACTTTTCAAAAACACTAGACAACAAAAACTCAGGCCATCTCTCTCTAGCAAGTTCAGATTATGTTTAAAAAAGGTGAAATTATTTGAATTTTTCTGATTAATAGTTGAGAAAAATTTATTTTAGATACCTGAATCTAGTCTCTCTCTTTCTCTGTTCTATATACTCAATGGCTGGAAACAAAATACGACGATTCCACACATTTATAGGGAAAATACCTTTGCTGCTATATTTCTAATTAACAACATTTTATTACAATAGAAGGAATCTCAAAAATCCAGTTTCTGCCAAGCGTCGTAAGGGTAACGCCTCCTTGAATTATGGTACTAAAGGGGACTCCTATAAGATTGTAAAGTTTGTCTGCTGAAGTTAATACCTTTTTAAAAATGTGTGAAGTCTTTTTCTGATTAACTCCTCAATTTTGTACATTCTGACTGTAAAGCTTTCCCCACTCCCACTTCCCCCTCTCCCTTAAATGTCTGTTTTAACAATTTCTGTCATACTAGATTCTGGAAAGGTATTTTATCCCATATGGAATGAGACAAGTCTGGATTCAAATGAAAGGCTATTAAAAGATGGTCTGGCAAAAAAACAAATATTTAAAACGTTTCTTTATCTGTAACTGATTTCCAAATATTTCTCTTTCATTCAGCTAGCATTTGATAATTTTTAGTTTAGTTTCTTCTTTTTATTATTAATGCAAAGGACTGCAATATCAACTCCCCCCCCATCCCACTGAAGCCCATGTTTATATATTTTAATTCAAAATGTAAAATTTCCTTCTTAGCATTTTCCCTGCTCTTTTTATAACGTATTGAAAAATACAAAACCAGCACTTTGAAGAGTACTAGAAATTAGGATATTATAGCTTTTCCCTTACTGAGCTCTGATGTAGGATGGCTAGGCTGCATAAGCTGTTCAAAACAACAAATAGTGAGACCATGTAGCATGAAAAATAATTTAGAGAGAGTTGTATCAAATATGTATTTAGCTACTGAGAAGAAAGCTGTTCTAAATGATTGTTTGCAAAATAAAATGCCTTCATGTGTAAACCTTAAACATTAAAATTAAAAATAATCTGCTATATTAAATCTGGCTATTACAATATAATGATGATCAAGACAACTAGTCTTAAAGTTGCTTTGTTGGTGTGTGTCAACTGGTTTCTCTTTCAATGACTCTTTCAATTCTAACAAAAAATTTTCTGACGAACATCCAAAATGATGAGTAGTCATAAAATAGTAGATTTTTAAAAGCTTTTATTTAGGTTTTAATTATTCACTCATTTTCTCATTAATTTTATATTAGAATTGTTAATTTGCAAATCCGAAAACCTGAGTGCGGAAAGTTTTCTTATATCATGATAAAGTGTGTTAGTGAGGAAAGATGTGATGGTCATTTCATTTTATTTAAACTTGTTAACCATCTTTACTAGGCTAGCATAATGGAGCTCAAGGAACTAGTAAACTCGTTAGCTGCACCCATTAGTTATGGAATACTTACTTCTGGCTCAAGCTCTCCCCGTCGTTTATAAATGGCTTTTTCTCCTGTTAGTCCATCAATTATTTTGGCATCATCTAACTCTCCAATAGCTTGGTGTCTCAGCCATTGTCTTTCCTTACCCTTGGCCTACAAGAGAAAAGCATCCTTAATTCATTCAGTGCTGCTGGAACATTTTACACTGTTTAAGAGATACAGAACATGACACAAATATGGGTTTTCTTTGTAATTATGTGACAGCTCTGGCACAAGTTGGTGAAATCCGAACACATTTTCATCAATGCCTGGTCTCTCTTGCTGAGGGACTAATTATTGCTGACAAAGAATATATTTTTCTCCACAATTTTTGTCACTTCTAAGCCTTTTCACATACAGAATTTGAAATATGGACCATGTAATCTTTGCATTTTAATTGCAGATATGTTGGAAAATAGTACGCAAATGAATCTATGCAGAAATCCATAGAGCTAGAGGGACAGGCACAACAGAAGTGTTTTCCATCCAGGTATTGTGACAAAATGTATTGGATGACTAAAACAGAGGCAAAACTCAACGTTATTACGTAAAAATACCTACATTGAAGGAGACATGCATCTGAAGAAGTGCGTTTGAAGTGGGTTTTTTACCCATGAAAGCTTATGTCCTAATAAATCTGTTAGTCTTTAAGGTGCCACCGGACTCCTCGTTGTTTTTATGTAATGGAGTATGAGTGGTTCCTTTTCTAACAGCATTCATAATAATCTGGTATGCAATTTACAATCAAAACATTGCAAATAGTATAATCAAGAAATGCAATCAAGAAATGCTAACAGCATTTTGGGCTGTATAACTAGGAGCATTGCCAGCAGATCCAGGGACTTGATCATTCCCCTCTATTCGGCATTCGTGAGGCCTCATCTGGAGTACTGTGTCCAGTTTTGGGCCCCACACTACAAGAAGGATGTTGAAAAATTGGAAAGAGTCCAGCGGAGGGCAACAAAAATGATTAGGGGGCTGGAACACATGACTTATGAGGAGAGGCTGAGGGAACTGGAATTATTTAGTCTACAGAAGAGAAGAATGAGGAGGGATTTGATAGCTGCTTTCAACTACCTGAAAGGGGGTTCCAAAGAGGATGGATCTCAACTGTTCTCAGCGGTAGCAGATGACAGAACAAGGAGTAATGGTCTCAAGTTGCAGTGGGGTTGGATATTAGGAAAAACTTTTTCACTAGGAGGGTGGTGAAACACTGGAATGGGTTATCTAGGGAGGCGGTGGAATCTCCTTCCTTCGAGGTTTTTAAGGTCAGGCTTGACAAAGTCCTGGCTGGGATGATTTAGTTGGGGATTGGTCCTGCTTTGAGCAGGGGGTTGGACTAGATGACCTCCTGAGATCCCTTCCAACCCTGATATTCTATGAGTCTCAGACAATGCACTTTTTGCCACCATGGTTGTTTGTGCATTGACTGTTAATACTGATGTACCATTCTCTACAGCTCAGTCCTGCAGTCCATACGCTAGTAATACTCCCACTGAAGTAAGCTCTGAGGACTGAAGAATTGGGTGCTTAGACAAAAATAATGTATTTAAGAACATTTTCAAAGGATAGTTTCACAATGACTTGCATGTCAGAGGGTCCATTTGAAGATAGCACAGTTTATTTGCTGAGTGTGGGTTTCATGTTTCACTTAATGTATGATCGGATTCACAGGATCTCCACTTTAACCCACTGGTCCTGGCAGTACAGCTGAGATTTTCATGGAAAGAGAGAATTATTTGGGAGTGAAATGGGATGGTTTGTGTGTGTCTGTCTCCCAACCTATGAGAAGTTGGACATTATACTCCTTTCCTGTAAATTAAACATCAGTGGGACTGGATTAAGGTGTAGGTATTATAGATCTTTGCTAGTGCTCCTGGAGTCACATGATTATGAGGATAACAGGGCTTAAGTGTCCTCTTAATGGTCTCTCATTGTCCTCACAGACCCTGGTTCTTTCAACTGTTAGAAATGTCAGTTTGTCTTCTTTTGAAATTACCTCTCATCAGAAATCTTCTGAAGCAGGGACCATGCTTTGCCAATCCCAGAGAAGTTCAAGATGCACGCCTGGAATTTGAGAGGACAGATCTCTGGAACTTTGTACACTGTGGACAGCTATTTGATGACCCACTACAGTCCACAAAAAATTCTACATCCCAGCTCACTGCCTCTGGCATGTGTTCAAATGTAGGTGTTCCGAACATGTCCTCAGTTTGAAATCAGTTCTAGAAAAACCTACTTTTGGGTCTTAATTGATGGATTCATTAAAGGTCTGACCTTTAAAGCCTTACGTGTCCAGATGTCTTTGTTAGAAGTCTTCTGTTTACACTCTGGAAAAGGGATTTAGCTTAACACCCATACTTCTAGGTTCTCCAGGCAGTGAGAAAACCTCACCTTCCACTTCAAGCCCACATAGCCAACTGGATACTGAATTTCATAGTGGAACAACTGATGAAACAGGTGTCTTATTTCCCAGATGGGCAAGGACAAAGGTTTTAAAACTGTGAAAGCCACCATCTTCATACTGGTTGGGGAAGCAGTTGTAAATCTTGTATGAGACTGGGCAGAACTCATCCTTCTTATTCAAGAGCTCATTCTACAAGATCTACTTCCACTTCAGGAGCAGAGAGGGATATGAGGAAATCTGCAAAGCAAATGATTTTGGCATCTTTTCTGATTCATAAAGCATTACAAAGTGGAAGTCTCATCTTCCTCTGATGTTGCCTTAGGTCAATAAGTTTGCAGTCTGTCATCCTGCCTTGGTTCCTTTTCTGACTGTTTTAACTTCCAGATGATATATACACACCCTATCAAAATTTCACAAGTGATGGCCAGTTTGCCCTGTCTCACACAGAGAGACACACACGTGACAGGAACAATAAAATGGGCTGAGATAACATTTTGTTCACAGCATTGACTACAAGCATTTGAGCATGGATGAGTCTTTAACACACCAAGTTCTGAGGGCTGCTGTTCTTTCAAGTATTTGTGATCTACTTCCTCTTGGTCGACAGCAAGAGAAAAACAGCAGAAGGCAATAAAGTTTCAGCTTCACTGAGCATATTCTTAATTAGTTTAGTTATTGTTTACACTGACAAAGTTATAGCTTTGAGGATATTCACTACTGAAGGAAAAGATGTGTGGAAAGAAAATGTTTTGACTAGCGGCATGGTTCACACTAATCCTATTCTCTTAGTCATTTTCAGAGATGTGTTTCAGGTGATGATAGCTTCTTCTTGAAGATGTTTGCTATTCTGATTATGCATTAAGTAAAAGTATTTGAGTTGTAAACATCTTAAGGGAAAAACGAGTTGACATTGTTCTTTTCCTGCTAAAATTTGAACTAGTTTCTTCTCCAAAACACTGCTAAATTATTTAAAATATTCAATGACTATCCCTTCTATGTAGAGTTGCATACAGTTCCTATTCTATCTACAAAGTAAAAGCAAAACAAAAACACACCAATATGTTTTCAATATATTTTGTAAATGCATGTGATGCTGCTAAAATAGAAAGAGCAAACTGTGCCTGAAAACTCTCAAGGAAAAAACTATTTTTCCATAATGATTTTCAGCTGTTTCTATGTCAATAAAATGATGGCCCATCTTTAAAGGATTCACGATAAAGCAAGAGACAAGTAAACAAATATTAGGGTCTGAATAATATAAACAATGTGCACACATTATACAATCATAATAAGTTTAAATTTGTCTTTATTTCAAACTTAATTTGAAAAGTTATGAATTTGTATGTCTAGTTATTGCAGTTTATAATACCTCCCAAAGTTAGAAAGTGATTGAGGATTTTTAAGGAGCTTATTTTTCAAAACCATAATTACATAGTAAAATTTGACCTAAAAGTGACACCACTTTTAATTGCACCACTGACTTTATATTCCTGAAATAAGGAATGTCTGCTTGATAAGTTAACTAGTTCTATGTTTTCTCATCTCTAGTGCTATCGCCACCTGCTCCCATTAAAAATGTAAAAATTCTTTCCTTTTTCCAACTTTCTTCACTTTTATCTTGAAATGAATATTCTTGTTTTTGTTTACAGTGTTTGTGTACCAGCATTGCTGGAAGCTAGCACAGTTCTATGGTTAATTAACTGATAATACAGCAAACAAAGGCAATAAAGGACAAACTTTCTTGTTGGTTATGTCCTACATAAAGAGAGCAGCTATTTTTATTTTTAAATGTGCCAATGCGATGTTTCTTTTAAACTGAGTCAAATTTAAGCTTTATAAATTTAAGCTTTCTGCTACACATAGTTGGATGCCTGAAAAGCTATGACCAGGCAGGAGCCATGGGCCCCCTATGAAAATCTGCCTTATTCACACTTCTGAGCCACAGGGGGGCTCCAGGACAGAATCAGGGACACGGAATGGGATCCATGCATTGTCACACACATCCTTCTCATCTCCCAATATCTCCTCTCTCACTCGGTTTAATTGTGCTTCTAAAAAGTCATCCCTGTGGTGAGTTGTGTGGGAATCCTGATTCTTGGGTGGCCAGAACACAGGTCCACTTTAATGCTGTTTTTGAAATAGTCACATATTCCTGTGTTTGCCCTAATTGTATGTAGGACCTGAATTTGCTCTCGACTCCCAATGATAATATTAATCAAATAGTGATATAATGTTAAAGCATAGTTGGTAACATTTTGGTCCTAATCTAGTGAGTTGACAGTTCCCTTTACCAATGAATCAAGTGTTACCTGCAGATTGTCTAGGATGATTCGGAGAGACTGAACTTGTCTTCGGACAGCTCCAGAGAACCTTTCATAAGTAGACGCATCATATTCACTCATCTGGATCTCCTTTAATCTGAAGCAAGAAAGAGGCTAAAAAATTAAGAATGGAATCGTGAAAAAGCATCTAATCCATTTCTACAGGGAGGGGTAAATTTATTTGTTGATAATAGTGTGACAGACCCAGACCAGTGGGGTGCGGGAGTCTGGTAGAAGGCAAATATACTGGCCACTGGATGAACAGTTTTCTGTTCCCTGAGTGACCAGAGCAGGGGCTGCACTAGAGCAATCAGGAACCTGTTAGAACCAATTAAGACAGGCAAGCCAATTAAGACACCTGGAGCCAATTAAGAACATACTAGAATCAATTATGGCAGGAAGACTAATCAGGACACCTGGTTTAAAAAGGACCTCCCATTAGTTAGTGGAGGGTGTGCAAGGAGCGAGAAGGTGTGCTGCTGGAGGACTGAGGAATACAAGCATGATTAGGCTTCAGAAGGAAGATCCTGCCGTGAGAATAAAGAAGGTGCTGGGGGAGGCCATGGGGAAGTAGCCCAAGGAGTTGTAGCTGTCATGCAGCTGATATAGGAGATATAGACAGATGCTATCCACAGGGCCCTGGGCTGGAACCCGGTGTTCCCCCCCATCCCCACCCAACTCCTCATTAGACACAGGAGGAGTTGATCTGGTCTGTGAGCAACACCAGAAGGGAAGGTCTAATTTGGAAAGGATTGTCCCACTAGGTGGGACAACAGAGACTGAGGAGACTGTTCTCCATTTCCCCCATGCTGGCCAGTCATTAGGTTAGCTGAGTGAACAGCAGGTTTGAGCCTCTAGCAAAAGTGGCCAAACTGAAGGCTGCCGTGAACCTCTGAGGTGAGTAAATCCACCAAAAAGCACAGGACCCACCAAAGCAGAGGAGGAACTTTGTCACAATAGCTAAACTCAAACAACAATGGACAGACTTTGAGGAGTAGCAGCTGCTTTTGTTGAGTTCTGAAGAGACAGTTAATAACTGATGTTCACAAAGCCTACATCACATTTAATATGTATGGAGGGTACTAATCCTTTAGCAGTCTCAGATCCTTTTGTTTTAGTGATTAGGCTGCAAGTCATATACTTTAACAACTGTGATAAAATTACACAATAGTTGCTTGCTCAGGTGTTGCTATATGTACATAAAGGGAGTTGTCAAGGTGTGTATTTTTTACCTCATTTGTAATGCATTTTAAACATTCTGGGTAACCAACATTTAACACAAAGATAAGGTTAAGTAGTGCTCTGCAAGTCTGTCCTGGTAGACCTAAAACTAGTTAGTACCTTTCAAACACCCTTTACAAAATAAAGAAACCTCAGAACAAATGGAAAGTTTTGAACAAATGTTTAAAAGAATTGCTCCTAAACAAAGAAGGCAGAACACAATGCTTAGTGTTGTTAGAAGGTCTAAAATAGAGAATTATTTCTGAGCTGCTGATACTGGTATATATATATTATACCATTTCCTGTAGGGCTGGTCTACACACACATGTTCTCCTGCTTTATCTGTTTCTAAGCATACAGTGAAAGCAGTGCAACACCCGACTGTGGATGCAGTTACACTGGTACAAAGGTGTTTATATCTGTATGGCTTATTTCCAGTAGAAGCACCTTTATACCAGTACAATTGCATCCACGCCAGGGGGCTGCACTGCTTTAACAATATTGGTTTTTAATCAGATATAGTTAAAGTGGTACAAAAACTGCAGGTAGACTAGGTGAGGTACAACTTAATTTGCTATTACAAGATACTTGCCTCAAGCATATTATATTGTAACATGAATTCTACAGATGCATGAGGGCAGTGGTTCTCAAACTAGGGCTGCTGCTTCCCGCAGCCCGCATTGGCTTGGGGCGGCAAACTGTGGCCAGTGGGAGCTGCAATCGGCCAAACCTGCGGAAGCAGCAGGTAAACAAACCGGCTTTACCTGAACAAGCAGCGGCCCTAGTTTGAGAACTACTGCATTAGGGCCTAATCCAACTTGCAGTGAAAGCAATAGAAAGACTCCCATTGCCTTCAGTGGGAGTTGGATCAGTTCTTTAATGAATAATGTTGAAACAAAGATTACAACTTTGTTTTTTACTATGATCTAATGTTTTTCTACACTGAATTATACACTTTGTGAGACAGTCGTTACAGAAGATTATTACAGCACCATAGCTAGGAAGAGGAAAATTCTCAATATTGTGCACTGAGACAAAATAGGTGAGGTAAAATCTTTTATTGGACCAACTTCACAGAGCTCTTGTTTAGGTGTGGGGAAGGTAACCAGAGTGTCTAAGCAGGCCGTCCCTAGCTATTGTGGGGCCCTACATAGCCGGCCCACAAGCCCCAAGCCAGTGAGTGCAGGCCCAGCCCTGCTGCACTCCTCAGGGGCGGGGCGGAGCAGAGCTTTGGGGAAGGGGTGGAGTGGGGGTAGGAAGAGGCGGGGCTGGGGTGGAGGCCATGGGGAAGAAGCGGGGCAGGGGCTGGAGCAGCAAGCAGCTGCGCAGGGCACCAGGAAATTTGGTGCCCCAAATTTCCTGGTGCCCTACGCATCTGCATACTTTGCGCATGGGTAAGGACGGCTCTGCATCTAAGCTAAATACAAGTTGGGACAGATTGTAAAGCATAAGGTGTTCACACATGCTGAAAGACACCACTTAAAATGAAGTTGGCAGTTATTGGTTAGAAAGTGGGTCAAGGGCATGTGTGGTGTTGTGATGATCCATAAAACCAGTCTCTGCTGAGTTCATGGTTTTTAGTGTGTAGCAGAGTTATCTTGTGTCTCATATCCTGGGAACACCACGGCTACTGCAAACAACATTGTGCACTGGCATTTACCTTGGTGACTCCTGGAATCTGAGTTTAATACCTTCGCAACCCAGAGAAAATGTATCTCCAAATATTAAACTAAAGATCATGTTTTACTATAGTAGTCTATGCGATGTTGTATTATTTAAATGCAACAAATGGACCAAAGGTATTAACATAATCATTCACTGCCCAACATTAAACAGTGTTAAAGGTCTGAAGTTTGGTATACAGAGACCTCAGCCTGCTTTGTATAATGGCAAACATACCATTAAAAATCCTTTTAACCTTTGAAATGTAAAGAATTAAGTAAGGCTTTCATTTTAACCACAATTCTTGTTCCCTTTCCCTTTAGCTGAAGAGAGTTTTTAGAAGGAAAATCCCCATTGTTTCAGAGTCTCTTGGAAGGTAAAAACTATTCTTCTGAGGGAAAGAGAAGAAGTTAGTTGAGATGAGCTAGAGCTGTTGTTACTGCTGTTTTAAAGTCCAATACCGTTTTATCTCAGGTGGTGTTTCGGACACAGCTGGGATTCAGCTGGATACAAATCTTACATTAAACATTAAAAATTTTAAAACAAAGTTTTGTTTGAAATGAACTTTGAAAATAATCGCTTGTTTGCTGAAGTGCCATCTTCTGAGAGAGTCACACATTGGGCTGCCAAAAATATTGCATTAATTTAGATGGAATAAATGGGCCAAGGTGTGAACATAACTGTCCAACATTAAATAGTGTTAAATTCTGTTCCGTCTCCCTTTAGCTGGAGAGAGTTTTAGAAGAAAAAAAAACCCCATTTGACAGTCTCTAAGATGGTACCGAAGACGGTAAATCTGTCCTTTTGAGGAAAAGAGAAGAAGTTAGTTGAGATGAGCTGGAGCTGTTTGTTGCTGCAGCTGCTGCTAAAGTCCGACAGATCCCGTTTCATCTCAGGTGGGTTTGGGATTCAGGTGGAGCTGGTAGGAGTGGTGATGTCATCTGGATCCCTCTCTCTGCCTCAATTTGGTCAAGACACCTCAGAATTAGGACAAAGCTGGTCTAGGGTCTCAGGACATGGTGCGGGAGGCAGCCATGATGGAGAAGCTCACTCTAATAGCCTCCATCTGGATTCTTCTCTATTCCACCCCTCCAAAGTCTTTCTTTAAGAACCCACAAAGGGAATGGTGGGTGGAATAGCCCATCCCCTCATTATTTTGTCCATCAATTAAGTCTAATATCAGACACACCAATTCTGGTTCATTAATTTCCAGTTCCACATATTCTGTTTTTACCAAAAATGAATTTAACAGTCCTTGAACAATATGAGTAGGCCTTTTCGTTTAAACTAATTTAGCTTTTCTATCTCCTTTTTGTATTTTTTCCCCATCAACACTAGTTATTATAGGTTATTGTGACAACTTGTGAACTTTCACATACTTTTTACAGTTGAGTTCATGAGAGTAAATTTATAGGCCCAATTATCACAACAGTGACCATCCACTATGAAAGTCCACCTGCCAGAAGTAGCTTGATTACACTACTCTATTAACATTCACATGTCTCTCCAAATATTTACAAAGGATTGTCTCAAATGTCAAGGTGGATGCTGCATGAAAAATGATACAATCAGCAGACTGCAGTCTATTAGTTTGATGTCTACAATTACAGTGGCTGTACCAGTTATCCTCTCCCTACAGAGGGGAATTATACTGCAAGATTAATAAGAAAACCAGTGCTTAGTCTAGAATTAAAAACAGTTCAGCAAAAGAGCTATGCAATATCTGAGGTTTTGCATAAGTTGTCTGATCTTTGAGAGCTCAAAAAACACATTGTGCTTACAGGTATGGATGAATAGTATGATCACATTACACATAAAAATGCACCATGTGTTATTTTAGTTACGATGAAAACTGGAAATAATATGACCGGTTGTAACAGCTTTCTGAAAAATCTCTTGTAAGGTGTGTGGAACTCTCAGGGGATTCTAGAAGTTGAAACTGGGGTGGAGAGTAGCAGAATAAACAGAGACCACTTTTATTCAACTGATAATGTCAGTGATTTGATGTGTTTTCCATAGCCAGTAGATTTCAGCCAGGAAATTTCAGGAGTGATAATTTTAAATCCTAGCCTCCCACTCAGAACTGCTAAACAGGCTGCACTATATTTAAGTAGTCCTTTCAGATAATTACATATAAACAGTGAATCTTGCAATTCACTTCACTCTTTCCTTAGTCTAGACCCCAACCTTTCTTGGACTATGCAGCAGGTTCCT